CCCCCGCAGCGTCCAGTCCTCCGCCCCCCAGCTCGTTGATCCTGGATTCTGATCAGCACCCGCATCCAATTCTGGAAGGGAAACCCTTTCTCCTCACATTTCGAGATCTCACAATGCCCACGTGGGAGGGGGCACCTGCGGGGGGGGTCCCCTTTCGTCTATTTTGCGCGTGCCCAGAAGCAGGGTCTCCGCTGTCACCCAGGGGCGCCGTGGGTGCCTGGGTCAACTTCTCCCCGCTGTGCCCAGGACCAGCCAGCTCAGAGGGATGGGCACGGGCGATCATGGGGTACCAGGGCATGGGTGGAGACTAAAGACCCCGAGAAGGTGGAAGGGGACAGAAGGGTGGAGCGCGGCACGGGGAAGGCTGGTGTGTCTCGCCGGCCACGTGCTGGGTGGAGGGCCGCCCGCCGACCACAGTCACCTGCCCGGCAGGGCGGCTGGCATTCCGTCGGGAAAGCACGTGTGCCCCGTCACGTCAGGCCATGTGCTTATCTGACCCACTCGTGGGGAGCCCCATTCCTTTCTGCTTCCTCCTCCTGGCCTCTCTGACCAGCTACACCCCTGCCTGTGGGAGCCCTCAGACAAGCTAGTGACTGCGGTCTGGGGGCCTCCAGAGTACCTTCCCCTACCCTGCCAGGCCACCGTGCCATGTGGCCACCCCTGTGCCTGCACCGAGCCCGGCACGGATTTGGATAGTCCCTCTGTCCTCCACACCGTGTTCCTGGGGAGCAAGACAGGGCCCCCTGGGTGGCACCGTGGGACCCGGGGGGCATCTGGCAGGTGTGAAGCATGTGCCCGTGAGCAGGCTCGAAGGCGTGGCGGGCACGATGGGGATGACCAGGGTGAGGGCGACCAGAGGAGGTCCCGAGCCCACCCGAGGGCCTCGGCTCACTAACCCTAACCCCAACCTTGAGCTGTCCGGAGCACACCACGGGAGGTACAGGTCCATAGGCCCCGCCCCTTGCTAAGGCCCCGCCCCAGGGAGAAGCCCAGTCAGGCCATTCAGAACCAGGTGTCTGTAGCCAAGAATCTGGGCGACCGAACCGGATCTTTGGGAAAACCCTGAAGCTCAGCGCGGAGGCTTCTGGGGAATAAAGTTTTCATCCAGCGCTGCGGCCCCTCTCGCGCATGCGCCGGGCTTCGCCTCGCAGCGAGGGGCGGGGTTTGCCAGGCTAAGTGGATGCTTGCTTAAGCGCCTACGCAAGGAGCCTTGTTGGCCCGCCTCCGAAATCCCGGGTCTGCAGACCCACTTTTCCTCAGAGGCTGGGACTTGGGGTCGAGTGTCCGGGTCGGTCTACCCAGCTCCACGCAGGCCACCCGGGTCACCGTGGGGTGCGGCCACGTCCAATTTGGTCCTGCCTTCCTCCTGCTTCCCGGGGAGCGAGGACTGTGCATGCGGAGCCCAGGCCGATGCTGCTTTGCCGGTCACGGTCACACTGGGGAACCCACGGGCACCAGGCCGGGCCCGGTACTTGCTCCCTCTGTCACTCCATGGCGACCCCGCGAGGGTGCCAGGCCAAGGATGGGGCGCAGGGCCCGGAGCGTTGCCCCTGCCCCACCTCCCCTGGAAAGGACGCTTGAGACAGAAGCCCACCAGGCCAATTCTGGGATCAGAGATGTACTCACAAAGGTGTACCAATCATTTTTTATTATTTAGGAAAGTGCCCATCACCCTGGCCTCTGAGATGAAGCGGGGACAGGGAGGAGCTCTGCCCTGCTCTGCCCTGCGAGGGCCTTGTGCAGTGTTGGGGTGAGCAGGACCTGTGGAATCCGGGGCTTGGTCCCACTTCCTTCCTGGGGCCATGACCCAGGTCCTCCTCCCTGAGCCACAGCCTGGGTTCGTGGTCACTGAGTCACCTAGCTCGGCAGCACCCCTCACAGCCCAGACTGTGGCTGCCACCCACCTGAGGAGAGGGAGGGCCAGGTGCTGTGTGCCCCATAGCTGGGGCCACCTGATCTCAGGAACCCCAGCCTCGAGTCCCGCCCCAGGGCCACACCCTTCCCTAGGAGGGAAAAGGTGGCTGCTCGCTCCGCACACAGACACTGGGAGGACCGGGAGCACACAGACACTGGGAGGACCGGGAGGACAGACGCCTCCACTGCCGCTGCTGGTAAGTCCTGGCCTAGGAACAGGCCTGCTTGACCCCCGCGCTCCCTGACCACACAGCTGCAGCTTCCAGCTCCCTGTCTCCATTCCCAGATCTGTCCTAGGGCAGTGTCTGGACACTGGGGATGGCAGCTGGACACCCTGGCTCCGGCTCACACCTGAGCTCACCCCTGGCACATGGCTTTGCACACACAGTGCCTTCTTGTCACTTGGGCACCAGGGCCTCTGCAAGGCGGGCTCCTTCTGGGTAGGTGATCTCGGGCTGAAGACTCAGACAGCTGTCCCCAGCCCAGTGAGTGTCTGTGTGTCCCCACCCTGCAGCCTGGCCATGGACCCCCACGAGATGGTTGTCAAGAACCCATACACCCACATCAGCATCCCCCGGGCTCATTTGCGGCCAGACGTGGGGCAGCAGTTAGAGGAGGCCCCCTCGTCCTCATCCTCGGAGACTCAGCCTCTGCCCACAGCAACCTGCACCCTAGAGCCAGCTCGAGTCCTGCAGCCCACTGAGGCTGAAGTGCCCAAGGGGGCCAAGGGGGCTAAGGGGGCTGCGTCCAGCCAGAGCCAACAGTCCTGGGAGCAGCCCTGCAATCCCTACAGCAGTGGGCAGCGCCCGGCAGGACTGACCTATGCCGGCCGGCCACCCATGGGACGAGGTGATGACATCGCCCACCACTGCTGCTGCTGCCCCTGCTGCTCCTGCTGCCATTGCCCACCATTCTGCCGCTGTCACCGTTGCTGCTGTGTCATCCTCTAGCCCACCCACTGGACATTAGAGACAGCCATTGTCAACAACGGACTTCGACCACTTCCTGCCCTGGACAGGGACTCTGCCCACCTGGCGAGCCATTGGCTCAGCAGAACTTTTTGGAACAGTTACGGGCACTGGCCATGCAGGCAGCAATGGGGACACCCTTGACCACTGGCTGCAAGGCCCAGGCAATAAAGCAGGGTGAGCTTTGTGCCAATGATTCCTTCCTTTTGGCTGGCCTTCCACCTGGCGAGCCATTGGCTCAGCAGAACTTTTTGGAACAGTTACGGGCACTGGCCATGCAGGCAGCAATGGGGACACCCTTGACCACTGGCTGCAAGGCCCAGGCAATAAAGCAGGGTGAGCTTTGTGCCAATGATTCCTTCCTTTTGGCTGGCCTGCTGTGGGAGGGCATCGTGGGCCAGACGACTTCATCTGCCCTCAGGTACACGTGTTTGTGCGCGCACACACACACACACACACACACACACACACACTCACACACAGTCCCCAGCTTTGTGGAACTTCTCAGGGACTGGGAAGCCACTGCCTATGACACCTCCACTCAGCCTGCCCTGCAGCTGTCAGGTCTGCCTAGAGGCTGATCGAGGCTGAGATCCTGCTCACCACCAGGGCCAGGCCTGCACTCCCTGGGTGGAGGTCGGAGTGGACGGGTCAATCCCCATGACACATGGCAAGGGATGCCACACTTCATTCCTAGGGAGTCCCTTGAGAGGCCGACACCAAGCTGGCAGAATGGTACGGGTGGGGCTGGTACCGCAGGTTTCAGGGAGTGGAGCAGGACGGCCCAGGGCAAGAGCCCAGCCCACTGTGACTCACTGCCCAGTCTTGGTCAGGCACTTTTTCTGCTGCTTCCCCCTGGGCTGGGCTTCCTGGAGGAGGTCCTGGACTGGGCCTCAAAGGGGCAGGTGCCTGCATACCTGAGTGTGTCTGAGTGCACTCAGTGGGGCAGGCGTGGGGATGCCCGGGCGGGGAGTGTGCAGAGTTCTGCTGTTTCCAGGGTAGGGCAGGCTCCAGACGGCACACAGCACTGAGTGGAGGTGGAAGCAGAGCTGGCCTCACAGGCTGGACAAGTCCTCCTGTGGCTAGCTGTCCCCTGATGCATCGCCCAGGTCACATGGCAGGGAAGGGCGGTGTGTGATATTTGGAGGTCCTGGGGTGTGGGACAGACAAGTCACTGCGGGACTCCCAGCTGGCTCTGGAGGCCGCCCTGCCCAGCCTGGACGTGAACCTGTCTGACCAGTCCAGGCAGGCTGACTGTGGGGGGCGGGGGGGCATGCCTGCTCATGGCCACTGTGCCCTAGGCTTTCGTTGGGGCTGTGGTGGGGTCCTGAGGGCCCGGCCAGCTGGCCTCATTCCCCAAGTTCACCCTGCCCATGGCCCAGAGCATTGGGCACACTGGCCGTGTGTCCCAGAATCATAGCTCCCTCTCTGGCCAGGAGGCTGAAGATGCCAATTGGATTGGCCTGGGGGGGGCTGGATGCCACGCATGGTACATGAGTGCCACCTTGGGGCTGGGAAGGGAACACTTCAGCCGAAGCCCAGAGACAAAGCTGAGACCCGGGGCAGAGAGGCAGGTCGGGGCTCTGCCCCAGTGTGGTCAGACAGGCTTCCTGGAGGAGGTGATGTGCCCTGCGGCTGCAGGGCGGACACTGCCAGCAAGGCAGTGGGGTGGAGAAGACACAAGGGTGAGGGAGGGGGCCATTTATTTTTCTTTGAAGTAGTGGAAACTGAATCCAGGGCCTGGCACATGCAAGGCAAGTGCTCCACTACTGAACAATACCTTAGTTTTTGGGAGGAGAGGGTCTCATGTAGTTCAGACTGGCCTTGAACTCACTATGTACTCATGCTGACCCCAAACTTGCAGTGTTTCTTCTGCCTCACCCTCCCCAGTACTGGGATTACAGGTGTGGTCCACCATGTCCCACTCAGACCTGGGTTTTTGTTTTTATTTTGTTTTCCAGACCTGTTGCTTGAGGCAGGGTCTCTTAGATTGCCTAAGCAGGGCTTGAATTTGAGATCTTCCTGCTTCAGCCTCCTGAGTAGCTAGGATGACAAGCATGGGCCGCCATGCCAGACAGGGAAGTCTGGGAGGTAGGAAGGCCAGGTCTGGGGGTTTGGTGGAGAGAGCCTAGGCAGCAGCAAGTGCAGGGGGAGGGGTCACCTTATCTCCTGTGAGTGGTGTCAGATCCAGTTGCACCGCTTTGTGGCTGAAAGGGGAGCCCACTCTGCAGCCCAACCGCCACTTGCCTCCTGCTGCCTGGCTTCTGTGGGTAGTAATTTGAGCCCAAGGAGGGAGCCCTGGGTGTCCAGGTCCCTAACCCCCTTTCTGGCCACCTCCTGGCTGGGCACAGCTGGCCAGAGGAGTGGATGCAGGTTAGTGTGGCTGCGGCTCGGGCTGGCTGGGTGGGAGGGGCAGCACCTGGTAGGTAGAAGGCTGTGGGTGGCAGTGGGTCACAGCCGGCTGGGCAGGACGCCTCCGGCTGCCCTCCAAGGTGTGTGACTGCCTAGGAGCCCTGTGGCCTGGCTTGAGTTCTCTGGACCAGCACTCTGCCTGTGTCGCATGGTGCAGCAGCAGGCAGCATGGGCCGTGACCTCAGCCACTGTCCCTGACCTCCTCCCTGCCCAGGATGCTGCAGCCTGATGATCCTGGTGCCCCGGAGGAGGGTGCGGCTCCCACAGCCCGGCAAAATGACTGCATCGTCTGCTACTCAGCCTACGACCTCACTGGGCACCTGCCACGCCGCCTTTACTGCGGCCACACCTTCTGCCAGGCGTGCATGCGGCGGCTGGATGCCCTGGCACACGAACAGCACTGGATCCCCTGCCCGCAGTGCCGCCAGAGCACACCCACACCTCGTGGAGGAGTGGCCATGCTGGACCTGGACCTGGCCACCTTCCTTGCCATCAAGGCTGAGCTGGAGCCAGCGAGGGCTCGGCCCCAGCGCCCTGCACCCCTTAAGGTTGAAGCTGCAGTCTCTGAGCAGCCAGCTGCCATCTGCCCTACCCTGAGCCCCCAGCCCCACTTCCCCAGGCCCCGACACCGCTGCTACTGCTGCTGCTGCTGTGGCTGGAGTAGTTTATGCTGGGCGCCCCCCAGCAGCCCCGAGGTCTGAGCCCTGACCACCCTTGCAGGGGGACAGCTGCCTGGAGCTTGCCTGCCAGAAACCACGGGCCACACACAGTCCACCCAGAGCCACTGGACGGCTCACCATCTGGGTGCAGCCCCAGGTGGCCCCTTGAGGCCAACCCCACCATGGAAACCCACAGGCCATGGCTTGAAGGGCGGCACCTTCACTGGCGGGAGACTATGCAGGAGACTGGTGACTTCAATGATCCTAGTGGCCTGTCGCGCACCTGCTGGGCACCTTGCTGTCAGACTGAGCTGAAAGGCAGGCCTGGGCTCAGCTCAGATGCATCTGCTGGAGGCTGATCCCAGGACTTGGGCACAGGCCAAAGGGCAGGGCCAGGCCGCAGCTGATCCCGTGTGGGGGAGCCCTCAGGGCAGGGGCCCCTCTCTGGGGAAGAGGGGTGAGCCAGGAGCAGGGCAGGGCCATCCCTGACCTCCGTCCCTGACCTCCACACAAACTGTAAATTTCATCCACTCAACAATACTAACTCCCTCCCATCACGTGTCTGGCCCTGATCCAGGAGGGTCCCCCACTAGGGCAGGCATTAAGGACAGCATCGTGGGGGCCAGCTCCCAGCCTCGAGAGGGAATAGGCTGGCCTGAGGTTACACAGCTCAGCTGAGCTATCCAAGCTTCCTTGGAGCCCCAACACAGATCCTCAGAGGGGTGCCAGAGGCTAAGGCTCTTGCCCCCCAAAATTGGGGCTGTAGCACCCCACCCCTGCAGGAAGGAGCCATTTTCTGGGAACCCCTGGGAGCTCCCCCTGCAGGGGGGTGGGCAGGATAGGGTAGGGAGAGAATTTGCTGAGTGGACACCAGGCCTCCTCCCCCTGGGGGCAAAGTCCCCCATGTCCCTGAAGATGAGCCCAGCCCTCCCCAAACCTCTCTGCTGCAGCCAGGGATGCCACGTGCAAGGGCTTCCCTCCAGCGTCTGCAGGGACAGGGAGAACCTGATGATCTGCACAGCTCAGCCTCAGGCCCCTCCTGCTGGATATGGGCATCCAGTATCCAGCCTGCCATGTCCTGGCCTGTCTTGGAGTCCTGGGCACTCCAAGAGGGCTGCTGGCCAGGGCTCAGAGCTCCTACCCCTGGGTGACAAGGCCCGGGGGCTCTGGTACCAGGCGGGGTCTCCCCTTGGGGGCCTCAGCACCTGGGTAAACATTAATGGGGCTTGGGACATAGCAGGTCACGTGGGCACCCAGGGAATCTTTGACCTGCGGCTGCTCCTGCTGCCTTCTCCCTACGGGTACCCCTCATCACCCACGCAGGTAGGAGCTCCCAGAAACAGGCTAGGGCCCATGGACAGTAAGGACAGGATGGGACCCCAGGGGCAAGTGACACCAGCCTGGGGCAGGGAAGACAGAAGGTCTGCATAGACCCCCAAGCCGAACCTAGGGGCCAAGCAGGAGGTCAGGTTAGAGGCTGGAAGGGAAGCTCCAGAGGCAGTGGTCTTGGAGCAGAGCTGCAGGGAAAGGAGCCACTTGGTGGCCTGGTGTGCCTGAGCCCCTCGAGCCTCTTGCCCTGCTCCTCACCTGGCACCATTTGTGTCCAATGCCCACATCTATGCCCAGGTCATCCACAGCATCCCCCGTGACACCTCATAGGAGAGGCCTCAGGGCTTCCCAGCTCCTGGGCACCCCCCGCTTGCATCCCAGAAACCTGTGCCCTGTGCCATCTCCAGACCAGGGAGCCAGGGCCCCCTTGACTCTGCCCCCTAAAAGTTGGCCTGGGCTTGCCTGACACCATGAGGTCATTACAGCCGCCTGCCATGGACAGAGGGAAGGCAAGTCACTGGGCCTGAAGGGGCAGCGAGGGACGGAGCAGGCCGGTGTCCCACATTCAGCCTGCTCAGCAGCGTAGGGCAGTCGGGGGAGCCAGCTGCTTCTAACCCAGCCTCCCCCTAGCACATCTTGCCTGGTCCTGGGTCTGCCCCTGCCAGAAATCTATGCCGAATTCCCTTGCTGGTGGCCAGGTCCCCCACCCCACTCTGGCTACGATCGACCTGGTGGACAGGAGTCTGAGAGATGCAGGTACAAGGAGCCCCAGGCCCCCACCTCCAATGGCATGCCCCAGACAGGAGAAGGACCTGTGTCCCTCATGCTCCGGGCCTCCCTCACCTGTGCCCCCCTCCTGGCAGGGGGTTCTAGAAACAGCCCTATTGACCTGACCCCTGCGGACACCTGCAGTTCCGTCCTAGTCTTGGAGGAGGGCAGCATGGACCCCTGGGCCCTCCCTCAGCTGAAGAACACGAGCCCGCTGAAAGGTAGGCCCTGGATCAGGGTAAGGGTTAGGGTTAGGGTTGGGCAAAAGTACAGGGCAGAGCTCACCCAAACAGGCCCCAGGGCAACCCACCCAGCAGCCAGCACCTGGGATGCCCGTGGCCCTCTGCTCATCTGTGCTCCATCCTGAGACGCAGGGCCACGCCGCCCTCCTGCCTCTTCTTCCCTGCTGGTGGTCACACTGTAGCGAATGGGCGGAGGACAAAGGCAACCTAGGTCCTGCCCTGGGGACAGAGGACAAGAAAATGGTTCCCTCCCCAGTGGCACAGAAGGGGATTCCTGAACTCTGCCATGGGGCGGTGAGGAGGGGTGGAGGGTGATGGGTAGGTGGAAGGTGGGGGCTGGCCAAAGACAGCCCTGCCCCACGTCCACAGAGTTCAGCATGGCTGGCAGGATGTGCAGGATGGTCATCGGCTTTCTCAAGGTCTGTGGGCTCCTGGGCAGCCTCTACTTCTTCATCTGCTCCCTGGATGTCCTCAGTTCTGGCTTCCAACTGCTGGGCAGTGAGTGGCTGGAAGGGTGGAGGGCGGGGAAGCACGGCCAGCCCACTGCAGCCTCAGGTCTCCTCTGTGCTGGGTGCAGGCAGAATGGCCGGAGATGTCTTTAAGGGCAACGCGGCGCTGTCCAACCCTGTGGCGGGACTGGTCATTGGTGTGCTGGTCACAGTGCTTGTGCAGAGCTCCAGCACATCTTCCTCCATTGTGGTCAGCATGGTGGCCTCCAAGCGTGAGTCCCCTCCCCTCCACAGGCGGTGGTGGGCAAGCAGGCTGGGCGGGCAACAGCTGAGGCAGCATCTCCACAGTGCTGACCGTCCAGGCTTCTGTCCCCATCATCATGGGCGTCAATGTGGGCACGTCCATCACCAGTACGCTGGTCTCCATGGCACAGTCAGGGGACCGGGACGAGTTCCGCCGGTGAGTGTGTCTGGGGGATCAGGATGGAAGGTGGCAGCGGTCACGGCCAAGGCCACCGCACAGCCTGCCCTGTGTGGCTGCAGGGCCTTCAGTGGCTCAGCTGTGCATGGTATCTTCAACTGGCTCACGGTGCTGGTCCTGCTGCCACTGGAGAGCGTTGCGGCCCTGCTGCAGAGGCTCAGTGCACTGGCCCTGGGTGTTGCCCACCTGCAGCCTGGGACACGGGCCCCGGACATTCTCAAGGCACTGACAAAGCCACTCACACACCTCATCGTGCAGGTGAAGCCCAGAAGGGGAGGTAGAGGCCCTGTCCTGGCCAGGAAAAGAGGGTGGAGTGGACACAAGGCCTCCCTGTGCCTGTGGACCCTGGGGCCCCTGCTGAGTCCTGGCCCCTCTGCCCACCAGCTGGACAGTGACCTGATAGCCGGCGGTGCCACTGGCAACACCACCACCACCAGCCTCATTAAGCATTGGTGTGGCTGCAGCAGGGAGCTGGTGAGGTGCCTCTGACCCCAGCCTTGATCTCTGACCTGCCAAGATGCCCCGCCCACTCCGACTGCCACCGCGCCATGCTGAGTCCTCCCTGCCCCTACCAGAGCCAGGGCCACAGCAGTGCCACTGGAGCCCTCAGCCCCTGCACCGGGAGAAACAGCTCAGCCCTCGGAGACAGGCTGCCCTGTGAGCCCTGTGTGCCCGCCCAGCCCACCTCCTGCCCCTGCATTGGCTGCCTCATGCCCAACCTGCTCACCACCCTGCCCCGCCCCACCCTGCCTTCCGCCAGGCCGCCACCTATTTGTGGGCTCGGTGCTCTCAGATCCAGCCATAGGCTGCATCCTGCTCGCCGGCTCCCTGCTGGTGTTGAGTGCCTGCCTGGTCCTCATCGTCAAGCTACTCAACTCTGTGCTGCGAGGCCACGTTGCCCAGGCTGTGAGGACCGTCATCAATGCAGGTGCAAATGGACCTGGGGCCTGGGGCTGAGGGCAGGGCGGGGACGCCCCCGTGACCCAGTGCTCGTCCCCAGATTTCCCTTTCCCCTTCGGCTGGCTCAGCGGCTGCCTGGCCATCTTCGTGGGAGCTGGCATGACCTTCCTGCTCCAGAGCAGCAGTGTCTTCACGGCAGCCGTCGTGCCCCTCATGGGTGAGCCCAGGCTGGCAGTGGGCCTGCAGGGGGCCGGGGCTCTGCCGGGGCCCTGTGCTGACTCCTGCTGCCTAGGTGTTGGGGTGATCAGCCTGGACCGGGCATACCCCCTGCTCCTGGGCTCCAACATTGGCACCACTACCACGGCCCTGCTGGCTGCCCTGGCCAGCCCCTCGGACATGCTGCTCTTTGCCGTCCAGGTACTGCCCAGGTCCCCCTCCTGCTCCTTCCTGGCCAGGGCCTCCTCAACTCCAGCCACAGGCCTTCAGACCCAGCTCCCCGACCAGGCCCCGCCTCTCCCCAGACCTCACCCTTCCCAGGGCTGTCTTCTCAGAGTGGCCGGGACCACACCTGTGCCTGCTGCCCCTTTGTCTCTCCATGCTCACCCACGCTCCAACCTGGCCCATGTGGGGGCTGTCACAAGTGCTGTTTTCCGTGTGCGAGGTGCCTCTCTAACCCCCACGAACCAGCTGCTTTAAACCAACAGTGGCCACCTGGGCAATGCCCCCTTGCCCAGCCCCCATCCAGAGGCCCCACCACCTATCATGATCACTCAGGCCGTGCCCAGTTGTGATTCGGCTTCCGAGATGCCCCCATCATCCAGTGCCCCCCTCTGGACCCCACTTCTGGGCCCACAGCACTGCTCATTCTCTCTAAAGCACCCCATGCTGGCTAGAGCCTCCTTCTGCCCAGGTAGGCACACAGGCTCGGCTCTGAAACCGGGATTGTGCTGGGCTGCTGCTCCCAGCGCAGGGCCCTCCCAGTGCAGGGCCCTACCCCACACCTTCTGGAAGCCCCAGCCTTGCCCACTCCTGGAGGGGCCCTGTAGCTCTGAACCTCCTCCCCCAGCCTTTAGGGATGCAGTTACCAACAGGAGGTGCTGGCCCAGGCTTCCAGCTCTCAGGTGTGTGCTCTAGGGTGGGTGGTGGGCACTTGCCCACACCTGGCCGGAACCTGCCCTCCCAGGGTTCCATCTCTGCTGTGAGCGGGATGAATGGGACAAACTTTGGACATAAGCCCTTTATGCCGTGGTCAGGGGCAGAGAGCCCAGGTGATCCCCATCCCGTGACCCAGTCACCTGACCCTTGCCTTCCCTCCCTGCACCCCAGGTCGCCCTCATCCACTTCTTCTTCAACCTCGCTGGCATTCTGCTGTGGTACATGGTGCCCATCCTGCGGCTGCCCATCCCACTGGCCAAGCACTTTGGGGACCTGACTGCCCGCTACCGCTGGGTGGCCGTTGTCTACCTGCTGCTTACCTTCCTGCTGCTGCCCCTGGCAGTCTTCGGGCTCTCTCTGGCAGGGGGCACAGTGCTGGCCACCACCGGAGCACCCCTGGTGGGGCTGGTGCTCCTCCTCATCCTAGTTAACATCCTGCAGCGGTGCCGACCATCCTGGCTGCCCCGCAGCCTGCGCTCCTGGGCCTGGCTGCCCCTCTCTCTTCGATCTCTGGAGCCCTGGGACCGCCTGGTGACCCAATGCTGCTCGGGCAGGGCCTGTACCCACTCCCAGACAGCCTCCAAAGAGGCTCACTGCTATGAAACCCCTGAGGTCCTGGCCTTCCAGCAATTTTGAAGGGTGGGTGTCCACGTACCATTCCAGACCCATTGGGCTGAGACTGGTGCCGGTGGACAGCTGGTCCGCCAGGTGGCCCTGCCAGGGCAAAGACTTCTGAGGCACTGCACCCTTTCGCAAATAAATGAGGCTGTTGCCCAAGAGTTGTGGTCTCTCCTTAGACAGGGCTTCTAGGGAGCTGGAGGCACAGGGCAATGTTGCCCCTAGCGGACACTCAGGGGCCAGGGCCAGGTGCCCTTCCTCTATGAAGCCCTGGGGACAGTCCGCCTGCAGGGGGAGGCCTCTAACAGGAGCTGGCCCATGAGGTGGAGGGGGGAGCCCTTTCCACCCCGCTGCAGGTGGAGGCACCGCCCCCCCCCAGCGCCGGGCCCTGCTTGGAGGGGCTTGCAGGGGCGGGGCAGGGTCCTGCAGCCCCTAAGGTGCCCCGCCCTGGCCTGCCCCACAGAACCTCGCCACCCGGGAGCTGTGTCTCTCTGGCGCCAGGGGGCGCTCTTAGTCCCCCAGGGTTTAGTCTTAGCCCTCCCCAGGAGCGGTTTCCGCCCACTAGGCCCAGGGCTTCACACTGCAGAGTGCCCAATCCTGCGCAGGAGACCAGGTGGTTCTGGCACAGGACTGCTCATCTGCAGCATGGGTAACCGGACACTGGGGACACCCAGAGCTTTCTGCTACCTCCAACCCCGCTCCCTCCTGCAACCAGGGAAAGCTCGCCTCACTCCAGAACTCAGGCACTCAGTTAGGGACAGATCTGGTTGTCTCCTACATCCTCTGCCACCACCCCAACCCCTAGGCCTCCATGGACTGGGTTTCACCCTCTGAAGGCGGTGACCCTTGCTCTGGGAGCCAAGGGGCACAGGTGGGCCTGTTACCCAGCAGATTCTGCAGGCTGGCCTTGGTCCTCCTCCATAGGAGTAGGAATTCCAAGTGGCTCCTGCAGAGCCAGCATCAATGCATGGTGTCCTTTGGGGACAGAGCCTGGCTGCTCCCTGGGGAGACCTGCTGTGAAGGCAGAGAGGCCTTCTGGAGGGGGGAAAACACTGGACACCTCTCCTTCTGGGACAACGAAGGCCTCCTACAAAGGCTTGCAACAGGGTCCTCTGAGGCCACACTGCCTGTCTGCCTACTGCCCCTGCCTGGCAGTAACACACCCTCCCACTGGGACCATGGCCACCAGTAAACAGAGCCTGCCTTGTGGAGGCCTCAACAGCTGCAGGCTGGAGAGCCAGGGCAGGTGCCCAGCGCTCCCATGGCCCTTCCTGCTTGCCTCCCTGCCCTCCTGGCCCAGTCTGGTGTTCATCCTGCCTGGGCCCTCCTGCCCTATACTGTCCTCTCTCCTCCAGGATGGATATGAGGGCCTCTTCCACCAGCTCTGTGCAGCCACCGTCTTTTCCCCAGCCACCATCCTCCTCATGAGGGCAACATGAGGGGCCAGGCAGACAGTCTGGCACCAGGGAGAGCTCTGGCTCACACCTGGGCCAGTGATGTAAACTGTGTTGTGTAAACTGTAAAATGGGAGTGCCACGCTGGTCAGGAAAGCAGGGGCCTTTTCCAGTGGGGGTGTGCCCTGAGGAGTGGCTTTGAAGGTACAGGGACCCTGGACCCAAACACCTCAAAGAGCAGCTGTGGCAGGATTTTTGCACAGTGGGAAAAGCGCTGGACTCCTCCCTGATTGCTGAGGGAGCTGTCAAGGGCCTCCTCACCTCCTGCTTAGGCAGATAAGCTACTGGGCAGGAACGGAGCCAGCTCCAGGACAGCAAGAGGACCCTGTGTACCCCCACCTGCCGATATGGACTCCAGCCCTGTGTTAGCAGAGTCGCAGGAGTCAGGTACCACTTCTTGGGCCAGTCTGTGGAAAGGGGACAGAGACTCCAGGCCTGCATGGACTGCCTGGCTCTATGACCTGCTGGCTCATCTTCCTGGCAACAGCCCTACCCCACCCCGCTGTAGCTAGACCACTCTGGTGGGGACGTGAGCGTGGACTGTAAACCTTTGCCTACACTTGAGGCTGCATGTCCTGGCAAGCGTTCAGGAGACGGTGGTTCTGGACCCTGCGGTATTGTGTATTTTGTGGTAGGGGAGTGGGTGCTCTTTCTCTAAAGAAAAAAAAATATGTGAGCAGGTGTTGCCTCGGACAGTCTAGTGCAACCAGAATGCCAGCCTCAGCAGGGGGGGACCCCCACGGTGCGATTTACTTCTTTTAAAAACACTTGAAGGTGAAATGTAAAGGTACTGTTTTCGAAGCCGATAAAAGGGCCAACTGCATGTACTCCTTCACGTGGTTGTTTTCCCTCTCGAGGACAAAGCGCGTTGTGGCCAAACACGCCAGTCACTCGTCTCCACGCAGCCCTGGCTCCAGGACGTGGCTCCAAGGCGACCGGCGCCCAGCCAGAGCCGTCTCCACAACACGGCGCGCGGGCAGGCGC